GAACCAGAGGCCAGGAGGCCCGCTCCAGTCGTGAAGTTCCTAAGAGGCCACCAATCTGCACAGCTTGTCGGTCCTCTCTGGAATAGAGATGGGGTGTAGACAAACAGCCACAGGATCATCTGTACACTTCTTTGGCCCCTCTCCTCCATGACCTGAATTTCTAGTTACCTTGAATGTGAGGCAATGTCTCATCTTCCCCAGAAGATGTCAGGTTCTATCAGAAAGGGGATCATTGTACCTACCTCACAACTTTTTTTCTTTTTGTTTTTAATGCAATTTCTTTTTTTCTTTAAGATTTATTTGTTTGTTTATTTATTTATTTATTTTAATTTGACCAGAGAGAGACAGCAAGAGAGAGAGAGACGGAAAGTGAGAAAGCAAGCCACCAGGTCCAGGACTTGAACTGTGGTCAGCTATGGGGGAATTCAGTGCCTCAACCACCATGCCACCCACTGACCCCCGTATCTCACAACTTCTAGCCATAAAGAAGACGTTCAACACATGGGCTGAGTAATCCGAAGCTGTCCCGAGATACGACCCTGACCAGGTGAGGGACAGTGTGCCTGAACTTGGTAGGCAACTGGGCTCAGGGATGAGGCATGAGTAAATTCACCAAAACACTTCATAGGGCGCCCCGAAATCTGCTCGGTTTTTCAAAACATGCTCTGGCTGAGGAGAAAAGGAAGTGGAAACAGAGTGATCACCTACTACGTGCTGACTGTTTTATTCCCATGATTCTGTGTAATCGCCACAAAACTGGGTAGGGAGGTAGAATTAACACCTCTTCACAGATGGACTGCGGAGAGGGGAGATTATCCAGTACCGCCAAGGTCCCAGAGCTACCTGATCACAGGGCTGGGTGCAATACCCACATCTATTTGGTTCCAGACGTCGAGTGGAGAAATGCTTCCACCTACACGAGGTGAAGATGGAATGATAAAACGGACACAGGCTTTGGAAACAGGAAATTTAGCCACATAACTTTGAGTCTCCTTTTCATCCAACAGAAAATGCAGATATTGATAACACCTATTTCACAGAGTTTATATGAAAAGACAAGTATGTGAAAGCCTTTTTTGAATTGCAAAGTGCTTCGGAAACTGTTATTAATTTGGTAGAGCTGCACTTTAGAGGAAGACCGTTTATTTGTCACATACAACCTGACCTACAGGTGCTTTCAAATGGCTATTTAATCATGCCTGCTGTCACAGCGGAACCCTACACTAGATCCAACTTTATACTATTAATGGTTGGCGTAATGGCTATGTCGCTGGACTCCCATGTAGTCAACCGTGGTGCGAGTCCTGGACCCGGTGGCTTAAACTCACACCAGGCACGTGTGCGTGCGTGCCCAAGATCCTGAGAGGAGAATGGAGGAGAAGGGATTGCGGCATGGCCATCCCCCCTGGGGGGTGATTTCTCACTGTCTCTCTCTCTCTCTCTTTCTGGTGAGCGCACATGCCCTATAGCAAAAACCCCTCCAAATAAATGAATGGTTGGTCTTACTGGTACTCATTAGCTACCGTTCTGTGAAATCATCTGGGGAGAAGAATTTGAATAAAAATTCACTCTTCACTTCTTTCTTTGAAAAAGGCTTCCTCTAAAGAAGAAAATGCTAATGAAGTTGATTTTTAAAATGTGCTTGGAAAAAAAAAAAAAAAGACACCCTCAGTTCAGTTTAAGGAATAATCAAGACATCAATTAGAGACCTCTCTTTACCAGCTCTGATTATTTACATGAACTATTCAAATGATTCCACTTGACTTTGCAACTTCATAATACTCGTCAATCCGTTATTTTTAATTCGCCATCTCCTGGGTGGCTGCAACAGCCTACTATTTACCTGATCAGTTCTAAAAGACGCTTAATTAACATAGCACTCTTTCATTCGGAAAAGCTCTGTTGAAGGCCTCAGATAAGTGCGCGGCACTACACAGATACGGATCCATGACACGGACTGCCCTGGAAGAGCTTCCAGTCTAATATGACAGAGGAAGGACCTTTTATAAGGTGCACACTCCAGAATGAGGACTCAGGGACAAGGACAGTGAGTTCAGATGACGAGAGAGCTCACCTGGCCATATCTGTGAAAATGCTTTGGGGCGAAGGTAGGATTTCAATAAAAAGAGAGTTTCTTCAGATTTTTGCAGGTAGACTAGGTTTTAGGAGAATGACACAACAAGATGAAAAAAGAACCAAGAAAGTTCTAGGCACATTTGACCGGTGGAAAATAGAGAAGCTTAAGCTGGAGCAGTGGTGTATGAGAAAAAAAGTGGGAAAACCAGGCAGGTACGGTAGCTTGGGACTAGAAGGAAATGCATGTCAATGAATGACACAGCGAATAGGAGTCTGAGCGAGATTCTTCTATCGTGGTTTTTTGCAAGACCGAAGCAAGAAGATTCTTTCTAGGTGTGAAATAATGAAGACCTGATTCTGACTGGGCCTGAACTACGAGGCAGCTCTGAGAATAGAAATTAAAACATGGATGTACAATACACCAGGGAGAAAAACTGAAATAACTTCACATGAACAGCAAGTGAGGAATCCCAAATGACTCTGAGCTGTAACAGAGCTAGGAAACCCTAGAGGAGCTGATTTTGGAACTGCAGGGGTAGAAGAGGATAGAGATAAAGACCGTCCTAAAATAGCCTTGGGCGGGCTAAGGCGATCTAAGTAAGTTTGAATTCTGTAGTACTCTATCAAATATGGACTTCAGAGACTTCAAGTTTTATTACTGGATAATAATAGAATACTCCAGGGTTCTCTGACCTTTGTCCTTTGACCTCGGAAGAAATCACTGTAGTGTTTGAGCAAGGACACCAGCACTGTGCTCTCATCATACTTGATTAAGAAGTAAGGCAGTGCCGTGACTCCTTCTGTTCGACAGAGGTCATCGTATGCACGCTCGAGGGCTTGGATCTGAAACAGGAAACAGGACATCACTCTCCAGACAATCACATACCTGCTTCTGAGCTAAAAACTGACACAGAACCAAAGGCACCAGGAGACTGGAAATGACCGATCGCAGCCCCGTTCCTCCCTTGTAGCAATGAACGTAAAAGCACTTCCAAATAATATCACTTAATTTTTCTTTTAACACCTTCCACATGCATGGTGGGATCTATAAAGAACACAATGAAACGTTTTATGCTACAGCGTGGTGGTTCTAATGACTTTACTGAGACATGATTCACTGACCATAGAATCCACCCGTTGAAAGCTCTTAATTCAATGTGTGTATTGGGTCGTCGGGAAAGTCATGACGCATTTTTGTATAGAAAAACAGAAAGATACGTCATGACTTACCTGACAATCTAATAGTTTAGCATGTTCACAGGATCATCCAACCATCACTGTAATAACTTTAGGACATTTTTGTCCTCCCTAAAAGAAACTCTGTGCCCATCAGTAGTGGATCCCCATTCATAATCCTTTCCCCCACTTAGATTTCTTCTTGAGAAAATCGTTCCACCAGACTATGACCTTGAATTTAGTTTACTTGAGTTTTTTTTTTTAAAAAAGAAAATCAGTAATGAATGTTTCCTTGGTTTGAATATCTCATTTTGTAATGACTGATGAGCTCCATGAATTCGAACCACAGTGACGCTCACCGTGCCTTGACAACAATCGGATTTGTCTAGTGTAGGGCCCACATCCCCTAGCCTGATTATTTTAATTGCTGTCCAGGGGACCGTCTCTAATGATCTTAACAGGCTCCTTAAATGGCAATGACCAGCTCTGCATGGAGCATTCCTGACGGAGAGTTTACCATTTGGAACGAGGGAGGAGAATGTCTTCAGTTTTGTTTCAAAGGCTCTGTTCCGAGAATTTATTACAGTACGATTCCTCGCACTGAAAATGAAGACCACATTTTGGTAAATTCTTGGAGTCTTTCAAAATGTTCCTACTGCCTTAGCATTTCACCCCAAACCACGGAAAACTATTGCTTACTACTTCTTCAAAATGACTTTATGAACATTTTATAAGTAAGTCTGCTCTTAGGGCCATCTTGGGGGGGTGGGGGTGGTCCCCAGTTACCACCTCTTCATCCAGAGCCGTGACTGTTTGTCTTTAAAATGAACCAGATAAGAATTACGGAGTATGAGGTAAAATTTTCTGCTATGTAAAGTAAATGTTTGTGGAAAAATGTAAAAATAAATAAATGAAAGAAAAAAAATAAATGAACCAGATTACTGTGTTTACACACGAGACCCAATTTTACCTACTCTGTTTTCTCTGTCAATACCTGTTTTGGTGAAAACCTTTGATCCAAACCCACTGGCCCCTGAACGAGAGGTATACTCTCTGGAAGACACAGGGCAGGGTAACAAAACCAGTAGTAGAAGTGGTACTTCTTTAGATCCTAAAATAAAAAATACGAGATAGGATATTAGAATAGAACCAATAATTAAACTGAAATGCATCTGTTAATGTAACATCTCATAAGCAATTAAGAGAGAAAAACTGATGCAAATAAAATATGTCCACCTTGTCAAATATTCCTATCTCTAACACAACTCACAGAATACCGAATTTCTGTCATGATTCAAAATACTCACACGTACCGCATACTAATAATAACAATAAATATAACACACTTTACTGACCTCTAACAAAAAATGTACAATAATTATTCATCATTATTGTTCAATACACAAAACCAGCCTGGGAGATAACTAGTATTATCCCATTAATAGAAATTGAAGCATAGAAAGGGATAAAGAGCTTAAATGACAAAAGATGGTGAGTATCAGAGAAAGGATCAGAACTGATCAGAACTCTACTTCTGTTTTTGTTTTTGTTTTTAAAAGAGTTTTTATTTTTTAAATAATTATTTTATTTAACTTTATTTATTTATTTTAATTTGACCAAAGAGGGAAAAAATGAGAGAGAGAGAGAGAGAGAGAGGGAAAGTGAAAAAGCAAATCACCAGGTGCAGGACTCAAACTGTGGTCGGCCATGTGGGAGTCCAGCGCCCTTAACCACCATGCTACCTGCCAGCCCCTTAAGAGAGATTTTTGCTATAGGGCAAATGTGCGTGCTGGGGAGACAGAAAGTGAGAAACCACCCTCTGGGGAGGATGGCCACACTGCATCCCTTCTCCTCCATTCTCCCCTTGGGATTTTGGGTACACATGCATACACAGATGCCTGGCATGAGTTTTAAGCTGGGTCCGAGACATGAACCGTGGTTGACTCCAGGGGAGCCCGTCATGTCATCTGCTGGGAACCCTACTTCTAAGACGTCAGCTTTTTCCCACTGGATCACACATACTCAGTGGACCACCTGCGGGGCACTGCCTCCAAACACAGTCTGCATTGTCTCCACAGTCAAATACAGTGAGCATGCAGTTAAGGAAGCTGTGCCAGTCTTATACCTGCACACGGCCTGAGATGATCTCATCTAATGCTGCCTGTTGGTGAGATTCAAGTCAACAGCTATTAAGCACTTGCTACGCTCAAAGCAAAACATGAGACACCGATAAAAAGACAAACGGGGCCAGCAGATGGCATAGTGGGTATGTTGTGGGACTCCCACATGACTGAGCACGGTTCGAGTCCCAGACCCGGTGGCTTCAAAATCATGCCAGGCATGTGTATGTGTGTTCATGATCCCAGTAGGAAAACAGAGAAGGGACTGTAGCCCGGCCATTCCCCCGGGGAGTGATTTCTCACTTTTCTTCTCACTGTCTCCATCTCTCTTTCTCCCCTGTGAGTACACACCCTTATGACAAACACCTCTTTAAAAAAATATATAAACTGCTTAAAAAATAAAATAGAGGAATAAACCCCAGTCCCAGCCATCACAAGGAGAAGAGGTGAGTGAGGGCAGGACTGAATCTAAGCATCACAGCGGTTTTAGGTACTAAGGAGCCGGGATAACAGAGAAGTCATGTCTTCATGGGAACATCCGACCACTCCGCCATCTGGAGCCGTGACCAGAGGGAGGATCTGCGAGGTTCTCCTTGACACGGGAACTCGGGCTGCTGACTCTCACTCCGACCTCCTCCATCACTCACGTGGCAGGCTCTCAGACTCACGTGAGTACTGGGCAGCTTCCCGTTCCCCCACTGTCTGTAATCACTGCGCACTAATGCAGTTATCTGGCAAGTTACTATTTCTTCTTGAAACTTGCCAAGAATAAAAACATGGTTGTAGAGCCAGCAGGTGACGTAGTGGTTACATCACTGGGCTCCCATGTGGCTAACTGCAGTTCGAGCCCCAGACCTAGGGGCTTGAAAATCACACCAGGCGCACGTGCATGCATACCAAAAGATCCGGGGGAGAATGGAGAAGGGATTGCAGTGTGGCCAGAACCCCTGGGGAATGATTTCTCAATTTCCCTCTCATTGTCTCTGTCTCTCTCTCTCTAGCGAGCACATATGCCCTACAGCAAAAATCTCTTGAAAAAAATTGGATGGTTGTTAGATTGTGGTTTTTATTGAGAAATAATTCATACACTATAAAACTCACCATGTTTGTGTTCGTTTTCACTTTTATCGACATTTATTTTATGCTGACTTTATTCCTGTGCCAGAAGTTTTTATCCTTTCTTCTGGGATACCTTTTTCTTCTGTGCTTCCTTCTCATCTGGGTTAGGAACAATTTGCTCCTTTCCAGTGAGGGTCATCTCAATGCGGCAGGGAGAGCTCAGACGTGGGTTCATCTGACCGTGAGCTCTGGACCTACGCCGGGGCATCCGGGTGCCTCTCACCTCAATATGCTCAATGACCTGATGCTCAGCGTTACTCTCTGCAGTTTCAAGCACGTGCCATAAAATTCAGCACTCTTTTTGGACCACCAACCCTGTGTCCAGCCCACTGTTTGGCCTGGGTACACCTACCAACTCCACCATTATAATGACGGAATGGCACACGCTGCTTCTGTAAAGGGACGTCTTTCGGACACCTGGGTGGCTTTTTGGATACGTGTCCCCTTGAGGGCCTGGGCAGTTTCACTGGTGTTCTTAAGGTGAACACAAAAGGTTTGAACCTCTTGATTTGCATGATTTTGTGGGGTTCTCTGGGCCAAGTGAATAGCAAACCATTTTCTAAGATCACGTCAGGCTGCTTATGAGAAGAGAAAATTTACCAAGTTAAAATGTATAATTCTTAAAAAATATTTTATTTAAGTTTATTTTGTTATCATTATTTTAATTTGACCAGAAGAGACAGAAAGACGGAAAGTGAGAAAGCAAGCCACCAGGTCCAGGACTTGAACCGTGGTCAAGTCCTGGACCTGACCATTCCATGTGGGAATCCAGCGCCTTTAACCAGCATGCCACCCACCAGTCCCTAAAATGTATAATTGTGTGTGTGTGTGTGTGTGTGTTTTGTGTGTTTGCTTGTTGTTTGTTTGTTTTTTAGTATATTGCCAAGGTTCTGCCTCCATCACTACTAATTCTAGAACATCTTCTTCACCCCAAAAAGAAACCTCATGGTATAAGCAGGTGGTCTGGTGGTTCAGGCACTAGATTCTCACATGGCCAACTATGGTTCGAGTCCCGTACCAGGAGGCTTGAAAATCACAACAAACACATACATAAATAAAGAAATGTTCAAAAAGAAAAAAGAGAAAAAGAAATCTCATAACTATTAGTAGAAACTCCCCATTCTCCCCTCCTCCACCTCCTGGCTCCCACTAATCTAGCTCCTGTCTCTATGGACGTGCCGACTCTAGACTTTTCATACAAATTAAATCATCTTTGTTGACTTTTTAAATGTAAATATGCATATAAATATGTGTCCAGACGAGAAATTCTAGTAATTACAGTTTCTGCAGTCCCTAATTCTGCTACTAATTGATCAACTAAGAACAAATTCCGCTTTTGCTACACCAAAACAAACTGCAAAATTGAAATTAATGAAGCCTCTGGTCCTTTGAGTCCTAAAAACAGCAGAAAGGAAAGCAAAAACACCTCCAGAGATTACTCTCCCCTCTTTGTACTTAAATGATTTGTCATAACTGATCTTTAGTGAAAGGTTAAATGATTCAAGATGAAAGATCTCACAGATTCTAAGAAGCTTTATCAGGTCACCCTTAAAAGGCAAAAGGCTTGCATTTCTTAGGGTTCTTTCCAGGATACAGGATACAAAGGATCTCGATGAAATTAAACATAAAGCCCTTTGTGTCTGAAGATTTTTAAAGATAGAGATTTTCAATATTTGTAAGGCCAGGCTAAGAATACTCAGTACAGAAGGACAAAAGAGGCCAGCAACATACCGGTTCTCAGAAATGCTTCGAAACTGTGGGTAAGAGCTATTTCTCTCACTAAATACAAATGGTCAATTATAGTCTAACAATAATTCTTAGTACAGAAAGTGTGTTGATGGTGAAGTTACCCAGAAATCTTTAACCTGTAATACTTGAAATGGAGTAGAGAACCTACAAAATTACTCAAATGTATGAAGGAATGATAAATATGGGGCCAAATGATGGTGCAGTCATAATACACAATGGTCTAAGAGGTACTCCCAAGTGGGGAGGTTTCTGGTTCAAGTCTGGGGACCTCCCTGAGTACACCAGGCCCACGTACGCCGCGATCCAGGGCTGGCTGAAGCTAGGGGTGGACTGAGGTGTTGGGGCCCTATCGGGGGGAATTCATGTACCTGGGCATTACCCCCCTACTCACTCTCTGGCTGTCTCTGTCCCTTTTGTTCATGGAAGAAATAAACAAAAACTTAAAAAACATATATGACGGGGCCAGCAGGTGGCGTGGTGATTAAGGGCACTGGACTCCCACATGGTAGGCTACAGTTTGAGTCTTGGACCTGGTGGCTTTCTCTCTCTTACTCGCTCTGTCCCTCTCTGGTCAAATTAAAATAAATAAAGTGAAATAAAATGATTCTAGGAAAAATATATAAATTAGTGCCCAATTATATCTAATAATCTGAAAACAAATTTAAATATTTTCCTCTCTTCCCCACTATCACACAGAAAGCATATGCTCCTTGTAGATAGGTATGCACTCGAGTCCATACCAATGGGCACCATGCCCTCCTTCATCCTGGCAACTTTTCTGTTGTCGTTGTTAAGATTTTTGCCATACGCCACATGCGCTCACTGGAGAAAGAGGACACAGACAGAGGGAAAGTGAGACATCACCTTTGGGGGGATTCACGCTACAATTCCTTAGCCCCCATTCTCCTCTAAGGATTTTGGACACACACACACACACACACCTGGTGTGATTTCCAAGTAGCTGGGTTTGGGACTCGAACTGTGGTTGACCACACGGGAGCTCAGCAGCTTAACTACCATACCACCTGCTGGCCCCACCTTGACAACTAATCAGAGGTGACTTCCAGGAGACCCGGGTAGGGGTAGGGAGGGCAAAAAGCAAATGTCCAGCTGGAAGGAAGGGAAGTGTGGGGAAGAGGGTTAATGGCAAAGTCAATACAGCCGTGACGCAGCAACACAGAAACACGGACGTGTGTATAGGCTCACTCCATAGAACCTATTCTCTCTCTGCTTCCACTGTATTGTAAAGAAGTAAGTGAGCAGGCAGAAAGAACCAATATGGCCACTGCACCGTTACTGCCAGTGGTGAATACCGGTCCCAGCCTAGACGTACAACAGGGTTCTACGGAGTACACCCTGGACAGACTATCACACGAGTCGACCTAATTAGAAAGAATGAATTAGTGAGGGGGTATGTGTGCATGCTGATTGTAGAGATACCAGGTACACACACACACGCGTGCACACACATGCACACACACGAGAGGTCTTCAGAAAGTGCGTGCAGGGCCGCTCTGCAGCACTGCAGTCACACTGCACATGGGGGCAGGAGCCCACGTGGCCCCCTGTGGTTCCGATTCTGGCCCCAGCAACGTGAAAAACACACCAGGTGAATGTGTGTGCATGTCCCAAATCCTGATAGGTTGGAAAAACTGGAGAAAAGGATTGTGGCATGACCATGCCCCATTAGGAGGGTCTTCTCTCTCCCTTTCCCTGTCCCTCTCTCTCCCCGTCCCTCTGGTGAGCAAGCACACTCACTCACACACACACACACACACACCCTCCCCCCCCCCAAAAAAAATAAAAAGTTCATGGAAAATGAAGATTATGAAAAAACTGCATGGATTTCAAAATTTTGTTTTCATCAAAATTAACTCATACTTGAATTTCACAAACGTTTTAAAGTCCCCTCTCACACATACAACACACGTACACACACAGCTAGTCTCTGTACAGTCAACCCCTCCTTCCTCCTGCCTCTCTCAGGTAGGCCAGTCCTCCCCCAGCCCCTCTGCCCCGTCTCCCGAGACAGTAGACGTCCGCTCGTGTGTCTTCTCTTCCTCTTCAAGGCTGCCCTGAAGGTTCGTTTCAATTAGACCTCACGTACAGAAAATGTTTTTCTTTCTTTAATTAAAAAATGTATGTGGCTGCGTCATGTTGTGTGGACTCCTCTAATCCAGAAGCCCCTTTCTCTTATTTGGAGGGACCAGCCAGTGAGCTTGGCAGGACTGTATTTTACAAGACATTACGGGCCAGTAGGTGGCACGGTGGGTAAGATGCTGGATTCCCACATGGCCAAATAGGGTTCAAGTCCTAGACCTGGCAGCTTGCTTTCTCTCTCTCTCTCTCTCTCTCTCGTGTGAGCACATGTACCCTATTACAAACGTAAAAAATATATAATAATAATGAATGAATAAATAAAATTGGGACCAGCAGGTGATGTGGTGGTTAAGGCCCTGGACTCCCACATGGCCAACCATGGTTTTAGTCCTGGACCTGGTGGCCTGCTTTCTCACACCTTCCCCCTAAACCCCCCTCGTGATCACATGTGCCCTGTAGCAAATTTGAAAATGATAACGATAAATAAAATTAAATAAATAATTCTTTTAAAAAATAATGAACAAATTATTTTTTAAAATTCGAAAAATAGAAAGGGACCAGCAGACGGAGTAATGGCTATGTCGCTGGATTCCCATGTAGTCGACCATGGTTCGAGTTCTTGGAGCCTGTGGCTTAAACTCACTCTGGGCGCATGTGAGTGTGTGCCCAAGATCCTGAAAGGAGAATGGAGGAGAAGGGACTGCAGCATGACCATCCCCCATGGGAGGGTAATTTCTCACTTGCTGTTTCTCTGTGTCTCTCTGTCTTTCTGCCGAGTGCAGACGCCCTGTGGCAAAAACCTCTCCAAAAAAATATAATTCAAAAAGAAAAAACATAAGATTTTAACGACGATGAGCTCGTGCCCCTGAATCTGCTTTATCTGCTTTATCACATCTGAATAGCAAGGGCTGGGTCGGCGTGCCGTATAACCCCTGCGTCTACTGCCTGCAGGGTCAGGGGGCATGAATTCATCCCACTGCTAATATGTTCCAGTGCTCTGCGGCCACTGAGCCCACGTGCGTTTCCATAACTCGTCTAAGGTAACAGCTTCGGAGAAAAGGCAGACCGTTTGGAGTAGCCTGAGCTGAGCCAGGGGCAGAGGCCATTTACTTACTGCAAATGTCAAGAGGAGGAACTTGTTCAGCAGCACGGGGTTCTCGAGAGCAGCGCCCGATTTGATGGATTCCCATATCTGCCAGGAGAAAGAGAAGCATCAGGGCGGTAAGCAGCCCCTCCGAGCTCTCGCTCTCGAGTGAGCAAGGAGCTGGAAAGCTCCAGGCGCCACTTACCTGCAGGCAGCCAGCACCACTTAGTGCAGAGACAAGAGGGCCCTCTCCTCACTCTGCCCACTTCACGCCGCTTCTCTGCCAGCCACGGCCCTCGGCATCCGAGCAAAGGGGGAGCGCGCGAGTGCCCCCTCTCAGCAGGGCTGCACAGGGGAGGCAGCCCGGCCACATCCATGCCTTCACGATTCCCTTCGGCAAAGAGTTACTTATTGTCTACTCTAAACCAGGAGGACAGGGCTACAGAAATGAAAGGCACGGTCGAGGGCCAGCAGGTGACATGGTGGTTAAGGTAGCTGGATCCCGTATGACCGACTCCACAGTTCACGTCCCGGACCTGGTCCAAAAACAGAAGGGACTGCAGTGTAGCCATCCTCCTGGGAGTGATTTCTCACTTTCCTGCTCTCTGGCAAGCACAAGCACCCTACAGAAAACTAACAAACAAATAAAAAAGACCTGACCCAGTTGCCAAGGCAGGCACCCAAGGAACAGCAGAACCACAGGTTATTAACAATGACCTTCGTCACCTGAGTCACAAGGTGTTCCCATCATGAGGGATGTGAGAGAGACCTACCTCATACCGAAGGCAGGAGGCTTCCTTCTCTGACCACTGTATTTCAGAAATCAGACTTTCACGGGCCGGCCCCAACCCTAGGGGTTACGGGAGCTCGATGCCACATGGCTAACCACAGTTCGAGTCTCACCCCAGTGCTGGGCGCATTTGTGTGTGTGCCCCAGACCCCAACTGGAAGGAAAAATGGAGGAGAAGGGAGTTCAAGATGACCAGATCCCATTGGGACGGAAGGCCAGAGTTCGGCAGGGGCCAGGCCACCAAGGGCCGTGTAAATCAAAGAGTGGATCAGACTGAGCCCTGAAGACACTCTCCTCCCCTCCTCACTTCCCCCACTTTCTCTTTCTGGGGAGTGTACATGCCTTTTTTGTGTGTGTGTGTATTTTTTTTTTTTTGGAGAGGTTTTTGCTATAAGGCGCGTGCGCTCACCAGACAGAGAGAGACAGAGAGACAGAAAGTGAGAATTCACCCCCTAGGGGGGATGGCCATGCCACAATCCCTTCCCCTCCATTCTCCTCTCAGGA